TAGGATGGTGTATCCTCAGCCTTACACGTTGTCCCACAAAATGTCGACGTGCAGCAGCAATCTTCTCCCTCTCTTTCAGCGCTTGGAACCCAGCACCATGAGCAGTAACCCACTCGTCGACATTGTCCTCGATACAAGCCCGAATACGAGACAAATGGCGCTGATAACCTTGTGGATCAAACACGTAATCAACGTAAGGTTCCAAAGCTGGGAAAAATAATGTAGGCGGCTCCCGCCCATACATTAGGAAAAATGGGGCATACCCAGTCACACTATGAGGTGTAGTGTTGTAGGCCCACAACACTGACCGTAAGTGATCCTGCCAGGTATCCACCCTCGTCACATGAGTTCTCAATAAATTGAGAATGGTGCTGTTAAACCTCTCCACATGACCATTTGCATTGGGGTGATAGACCGAAGTACGGGACTTAGCTATACCTAGCTGAGCCAAGACATCCTTGAACAGCTGAGACTCGAACGCACTCCCCTGGTCTGAGAGTATCCTAACCGGGGGACCATGAATCGAAAAGATATTCAGTAGGGCCTTCAGTGCCTCCGCAGCACTCTCACCTGCCACGGGGACAGCTTCGGCCCACCTTGTGAAGTGGTCCACCACTACCAATAGTTTAGATACACCGCTTCTGCTGGGAGCCACCGTCAGGAAATCGATAGCTACTGTATGCCAAGGCGAACCAACCGGGTACGGGACATACGGCAAGTGGGGTAGCAAGACGTTCTTATGGGGTGCACAGCCTTCACAGTGCAACAAGAACTCACTAATATCCTTACTCATACCTGGCCAGTAAGCTGTACGTCTCAACCGTGCCACCATGTGCTCTCGTCGAAAGTGTCCCGCCTCCTCATGAAACCGATCTAATGCTTGGCGTCGAAGACCTTCGGGGACCACTGGAACAAACCTCGAAGTCGCCTCTTCATTAATCTGCACTCTTCGTACCAATAGACCAGAATCATGAACCCGGAGGGTTAGCCAAACTCTCCGATAAGGCCGATACTCTAGATCCTTGAGCTCATCCTTCGCTAAAGGCTCTCCTGTCCAGACCCTGTCTCTCACCACCCGAAGAACAGGATCCAACTCTTGCTCACGTACCAAATCAGCTGTTGACCATTGCTCACAGAGGGTGAGAACACAAGCAGGGGCAAAATTGTCCTTCTCCATCGCATCGGCCTCCCTGCCTTCAGTCAATAGCTTGTCCGTCACCAGGGCAGGCGTACCTTGCAGTTCACGCTGGAGTGCTCCAAGATCTGGCTCTGCCACTTTGTCGTCGGATGTAGTAATCCGGGACAAGGCATCAGCTACGACGTTGTGCTTACCCTTCTTGTAAAATACCTTAAATTTAAACTGAGACATACTAATGAGCCAGCGTTGCACTTTCGCCGTCGTAGCCGTCTGTATCCATTCCAAAGGCTTGTGGTCCGAAAAGACGACCAATTCCAAATGGTAACCCCAGAGCAACGGTCTGAACCGTTCCAATGCCTTGAAGATAGCATAGGCTTCCCGCTCATACACCGGCCAGACTTTCTGGGTAGGGGTCAGAGACTGGCTGAAGAAGGCTAAAGGCCTTCCGTCCTGCTCCACCACAGCCCCTATCGCTACATCGCTGGCGTCGGTCATGAGCTGAAACGGTCTCGAGAAATCTGGATAGGCCAACAAGGGGAGGCTGGCTATCCACTGCTTCAGGTCATTGAAGGCCAGCTCTTCCTCCTTGCCCCACTGATTTCCGAGTTCCACAACCTTGTTCTTCGTACAGTAGTTCACAATTTCATAAAGACACCGAGACTTATCCGCAAAGTGCGGGACAAAATTCCTATAGTACCCTGCCAGCCCTAAGAAAGACCGAAGGGCCGGGGCAGTCCGAGGTAGAGGCCACCGTAAGATAACCTCGGCCTTACCCAAGTCGGGACTCATACCAGTACTATTGAACATATGACCCAAATAGGTCACTCGATCCTGCATAAACTCGCACTTCTCAGCAGCCACCGTCATACCAGTCGCCCGTAGAAGCTCAAAGACGATCCTCAAGTGCTCCAGATGCTCTTCATCAGATCTACTAAAGATTAGGACGTCATCGAGATAAACCCTTACAAAGGGAAGGTGTCCCAGGATAGCATCCATCAACCGCTGGAAGGTAGCCGGGGCACTTGCCAAACCAAAGGGCATCATCACCCACTCATACAATGGGAAGCCTGGACCGGGGCAGAAGGCGGTCTTCCGTTGGTCCTCCTTGCGAACCGGGATCTGCCAGTAACCACTTCTCAAATCGAGAGTCGAGAACACTCGTGCACCAGCCAGGTGCTCTTGTACGTCGTCTGGCCGGGGCACAGGGTACGCCTCAGTATGGCATGCCTTGTTGAGGTTCCTGTAGTCAATACACATCCGGACTTTACCATTCTTCTTCGGGACGAAGACACACGGGAACCTCCATGCCGACGTACTCCTTCTAATAACACCAAGCTCCTCCATCTCCTTCAGTAAGGCCGAAATCTCATCCCGATATTTGTGAGGAATAGGCCTTATCCTCTCACAAATCGGACGAGTCGTCCCAGTCTCGACCGAGTGCTCAGCTTGAGTACAACGTCCGGGACGTAGAACGAAGAGGTCCTTGAACTCCTCACATAGGTCAGCAACTGGTTGTTGCGCTTCTGTAGGGCTCTCACATATATCTGGTAGCTTAACCGTCTCGTCCAGAAACTCTGGGACCGCAAACCGTAAGGGATCTTGGCAGATATCATCTCCTTCGAAACCATCTACATGCTCCCAAGCAGCTGGGGGCCACTCCTCTCCCTTAATAAGCTCTTTCCCTTTCGGCTTAGACGTGCCGGGAACTCTAGCCTGTGATTCGGCCGGGAGCTTCAAGTTGGCTCTCTCTAACTCCTCATTAGTCATGAGAGGCCCATCCGCTCTCAGGCCGGCACACCCAGTCGGGGCAGAGCAAATATCACAAGGGAAATCGAAGGTGGAGACATCCAAATGGGCAAATGCAGCTGCACAGCCCACGCAATAATGTTCTGGCTCTCTCACACAGTCGATTTCTATCTCTTCTTCGGGACAAGGCTTCTCACACCAATCCTCAACAGGCACCGAAACCGTATCCTTCGACGTATCACTGTAGGCCACATCCTCGCCCACAGCCTTGTCCGATGCCTCAGTATTAGCCTTGTCCTCAACCAAGATCTTGTCGGTCTGGCTCCCTATATCGACCACACCCGTGACCACCTCTTCTTCGGAGTCAACGGTCTGGACACCTTGCGTTACCAATCTCCCAGTAGTTTCTAACACTTGACGTTGTTGGGCAGCCATCAAAGCTATCCTTGGAGACACCGACTCCATCATCGAAGTAGGACTGCTCAACACAGAATCTATATAGGAGGTCGCGCTGCCACCTTGGCAACACCGCCTCGACCGTACACCTCTGTCAACGGCGTCCAATGCATCTCGCATCAACCATGGAATACCAGGCGGGCCTGCCTTCGTATTCCTACCAATAATACGCACCGGTTTCTCTGAATACAATATATCTAACTGAAAATATTTTAAGAAGTCGTGCCCCAGAATCACGGGGAACGCCAACGATTCTACAATAAAAGCCGTAATCAAAAAGGGGATACTCAACTCATCAGCAGTGGAGTGGGCTCTCTCCCCCACCCCAGTTGCTGTAATCAGATTAATCGTTAATGTTGCCACACCAATAATCTTACAAGAGGACTTATCTATTGTGATCAACGACGGCCCATTCACGGGGCTAACTTCACAGCCAGCAGGAATCACATCACGTGCTACCATCGTGGCACAGCAGCCAGTATCCACGAGACAGCGAACAGGGCCAACAGACTGAAAATTTGACACAAGTTGTACAGACAAGAATAGACCAGAATCATCTCCAAAAGGGTACAAAGTCAATGTTTTCTTATGATCATCAGGGGTCAAGACTTTAGCGACTGGCGACCGCGGGCTGCTGGGCGGCCGCCCCGCTAATTTCCCTGTTCCGGCGTCACACCCTTCTTAATCTTCTCCAGCAGAGCTGGGCGCTCAGGACACGAGCGGGACAGGTGTGCCTTAGAACCACAGATATAGCAACCCTCACTGAACTTCTTATGAGGACAGTTGTAGGATGCATGCTTCCCCTCACAGAGCCCGCACGGCATCAGCTGTCTCCTGGGCTGCGTGGGCCCTGCACGCATGTCCTTATCCTTACGACCAGGGTCTTGTTGAGCCTTGAGGATGTCCTTCAGGGACCCAAGCAGGGCATTCTGCGAAGTATGCATAGCGTTGATAGCCTTAGTCTGAGATTCGATAAGCGAAGCCAACTGCTTGTCCTTGTCTGAGGGGTGTTGCGCCACCGCCCCGGGGCACGCATGCTCATCCTCGGACACAGCCGCCGCAGCGTGCTTGGCCGTCCGAGACTGCTTCCCTCTGTAATCCTCTATAATCTGGCAGACCTCAGTGATACCCTTAGGTCGACGTCTTCTCAAAACCGGCCTGGCTCCCTCCGGGGCACAGGCAATAAGCCGATCCAACAACATACGACTCTTAACCAAAGGGGGAAGTTTCTCCTCCGCCGGTAACATCTTGTCGTACTCCTCCAGGGCCCGCTTCAAGATGGCCATGAACTGACTGACATGACCCTTCCCGTCCCAAGATAAGGCGTGGAACTTTTCCAAGGCCTCGTCGGGACGAATCAGGTCAAAGAGCTGTAACATCATCTCTCGATCAGCAGCGAAGTCCTTCTTGCCAGCGTTCTCATCCCAAGTATCAAAATAGGAATCCCTGAAGAAGCTACCCAATCTCTCGGCCATCATGTGCTCGTTCCAACCGGCCGCCCTGGCATCTGCCTCGAACCTTCGGAACCAGATCCTTAGGTCGGAGGCTCCATCGTATCTTTCCGGCATCTGGGCGGTCACCACTTGCAACGTCTGACCAGTGAGGAGAGGCGCCAACATACCTCTCGTCTGTGATAACTCGGCCTGCTTGTTGTCCTCAGCCGACTCAGTAACCATACTTTGATGCTTCAGTGTTGGGGTCGCTTGAGGGGGTGACCTTTCCTCTAACACGCGGTTATACTCTTCAACTGAACGCCTCGCCATCTCGGTCGCCTGCTTAGCCGCCGCCTCACCCAACTCAGCACGAATGAACTCGTCATAGGCCTCCTGAGCTGCCTCCTCAGGATCACGACGCACCAAGGGGGCCCGAGGGCCCTCCCCCTCCGCTCGGGGCAGAGTGGGGGTAGAACCAGAAGCTGATCCAACCATCTCGTAGTTGTAATCGTTCGTAACAAGGAGCTGCTACCAAAAAGGTGTCGGGGTATCGGTTGATGAACTCTAAGAACAACACAACAAGGGAACTCGAGCTAGAGCAACCAATACTACGACCCTAGGACAATAACAATAAGCGCACTACCTGCACTTAAGTTCTGTACGAATACCACAGACTTAGCAGCACAGTAATCGATATTGGGCTCATTCGCTATACTGAGGAAGGCGAAGGTTTGATGAGATAACAAGGGTGCAGGCAAACTGGACCCACAACACACGGTGTTTACGTGATGAATCCGTAACGCACAAAGATGATATAGGTGGAGGCTTGGTGTTGAGAGAATACTCACTGCTCACTCAGGAATAGTAGCGACGCTACTGTAGCGTTCCTGTTCACTATGTAAGGATGAACACCACTTTGCTATTCATTCGCTCTCAACAACACTGAGTGTACTGCTGATGAAGTCTTTATTTACTGATTTGTTTTCGACGAGGATCGTACTTGTGCGTTACACGCTCATTACACACGCATACGTTCTTGTCACCTTGCTCGAGTTTGACTTTACTGCAATCAACTGCAGTGAAATTCAGTGCTGAGCTGTGAGGATTCCCAAGTAGAGGGATGGGTCATCGTTCTTCGAGCGAACTTAGCCATAATAAATTTCGGGAAGTTCTCAGTGCTCTCCCTGAGTCCACAACTCTCAATGTTCGTCCATCTTCTCATCCTGGTACTTGTCATGTACGTGGTAATGGCGATCGATGCTCTACCAAATGGTGATACGCTGATTGGGGTCGGCAAGTGCCGTGATGCAGACTGCCCTGACAACTGCAAGCATTGTCATTGCCGATGCTGTGACCCCAAGCAAGGTGAAGGTATAGGGGCTGCGTGCCCTGACCCAGACTGTCCAGACGATTGTAAACATTGTCATTGCCGTTGCTGTTGAAAGTCCCTTCATGGGCTGTGCGCACACCATAAGCGCAAGTGGTAGATCATCTTTCCCCTTCGGCCACTTTCACGCCGAGCGATTTTGGGCTAATATAAGTCCACCAATTTGAACTATTATTATTTCGAGTGCAAGGAACCAACAACGGTTTCCCTTGCGCCATAAGTTGGTATAATCCGAGTACTTCCAAGATTGCTCTGAGTTCGTGTCAATCGGTTGCTGAAGTCGTTCAAAAGATTCAGTCAGATTGTGTGACAAACCCGTAGTGCTCGAAGATGATACAAATAAGGTCTTGGTTGACAGAACACTTCGTTTCGTAGAGTATTGAAACATCGAGAATTGGCTGTAGTAGTGCTCGTCTCTGCTTATCCAATAACACTCATTATGCACGGATGAGTACTTCTTCTTGAAGAAGTCTTCTTCGCTATTCAACACAAACCCTCACTGCGAACAACTAGACGACAACTGAAGAGCAACAGTCATACAGCTATTTAACTGTCAACTTTAGGAGCACAAAAAGAATACAGATGAATACTTGTTTTATAAGTAAGCACTCTTCACGTGGTAGTAGTACTCGTTCCTGCTCGTTATGCAGGGATGAGGACTACCTCATCCCTATTTAATTATACTTGACAACACTGCATGTACTGTCGAACAAGTTCTTATCAAAATCTCGACTCTTGAACTGCACGAACACTCAGACAGATGAGCGAGTCCGTGGGCTTCTAGGCCATGTATTGACAACACACAGGAACCATACTCCCCACTGCACTGACTAGCACATCTCGACACGATGAGTCCCTTCTCGCATTCATCTTTTATTTTTATAATGGTCATCCAGGTGGCAGATATCGGGCAGGGCAAGACAGAAGAAAAACGTTGCTCGAGCTCGATCTCTCTTGATTCACCGCTCGTGTGGGAATTGCTACTCGTGTCTTACACGCGCACTACGCACCCGTATATTCTTGCTACGTTGCTCGAGTTGGGGTTTAGTGTAATCAACCGCAATCAGACTTGGCGTTGAGCCGAGTAAAATTAGAACTTGTCGTGCCTCCGGCGAAGTTGACCTTATCAACTCAAGCCTTTCAGTGCTCTCTCTGAGTCCACATTGTGCACTGTGTATTCAATGTTCGTACGCCTTCCCATCCTGGCACTTGCTATGAGTGTGATGATGGTACTACCATCATGGTAGCGATGATCGCTAAGCGATCGATGCTTAACGCTATGATACGCTGCTCGAGATTGGCCAGTGTCGTAATGCAGACTGTCCTGATGACTGTAAGCATTGTGGTCATTGCCGTTGCTGTCCGCCCCTTGACTAACTGATTGCGGTGAAAGCGGTGAAATTCACCGCTACAGACTCTGATGGTGAATCGGATGAATCATTTTAGGTTATCGAACACATTCGACTCGAATGATTCGAGCCGAACCATGCTAGGCAAGTACAAGTCCATCTATTTAAGTTATGACTATTCGGAGTGCGAGAGAGCACCAACGGTTTCCCTTGTACCATTAGTCGGTAAAAAAAGAAATCACACTCTGATTACTTTCGAGATCGCTTCGAGTTCTAGTCAGTGGATACACTTGTGCAAACGTCTTCTAGTGTTAGGTGCTGTATTGGATATCCCACTCCTGGGCGCGTGGGTCTGGTGGGCTGGAAGACAGAAGGTGTCTGTGGCTTCCAGCCCTCGAAGCATCGAGTTAGTCCGACGAGCGCCTCTGCTGGCGCCGCGCACGTTGCGCTCCGGCGGCCGCGTGCCGGCGATGAGACGCCGCGCAGGGTCGACCAACCGATGCTTGCTCCCGGGAGTGGCGGGCTGGGTTGAAAGAAATCATACCCGGCATACGCCATCTGGTTTTGTAAAGCTGCGGCGGTGTTCGGCCTTACGGGTCGTTTCACGACGCACCCCGAAAAAGGATGGAGGACGCACCGCGGGTGATATGCACGTGTGTGACAGAGACGCACTGTGTGACGCGCCCTCCGTATCGGTATTTAACTTGTGTCAACTAGTTAACACTTATTAACTAGTTAACCCTTGATAATTAATCACTATCATTGTCCGTGTCGTCCACGTCATTGGATACGCCATGTGAAGCTAATTTCGTAGGAACACCGTGTCAACCTCAACAACAAGACCGTCCGAGGAACACCTGTGTCTTACATTTGATCAAGTAACTTCTTCACTTCTATCAACATCTCCTCCAACCACTGCTATCTATCATCTTCGCTTCCCTCCTCTTCTAATTCACTTCGATACCGCTCCATCTCCAACTCAACACCTTTTCAACGCCTATTTGGATAATAGTAACTTCTATAATAGAAGTTCTATTCCTAGCTCAATATGATCGTTCTCAATAATCAATAATATGATCCCAAATCAGTAGAATCACCTCCACGTATGCAGTGGACTCGGTTAAATCGCCTCTTGACCTGGATTCCTCCCAAGTCCTTTGACTCTTCCTACATTTCGATTTCACATCCGTCATGCGAATCCTGCATTTGTCAATCACCACACTCTATAGAGTCAGTCGAGAACGATATTGTATACTCTTAACACCTCAGCATTTGGGGAGCAAAAGGAACTTCTATTCGCAGCGGGGGAAGAAATAGAATTTAAAAAAATCGTTTATGGATGGAAGTTAAAGAGCTCCAACTTGAACACATCCCCCTAGGACCGACAATTCCAAAAGTTTGGAGGAAACTATTTCAATTCGAGAACTCCAATTGAGACTTTGATATTGACCTATATTCTGGGCGCGTGATTTAGTTTTACGGCGCGTGACTCGTATTCCGCCGACTAGGAATGGATTGATGTAAAACCCTTCTGACACGGGAGTGTGGGTGAGGAATCACGTAGCGGTAGAGAAGCACCAACACGAAACCCGGAGCCAGCAGGCCCGCATTATTGGCGCTGCGCCACCGCAACGTGATTGATGTGTGAGGCTGACCTTCACACATCTCCCGGGTCGGGAGGGTTGGGTGAGAAGAACCAGAGGGTTCCATCATTGTACTGTAACAGTGCACGCCGCAGCATATTGCTACGCCACAGCGTCAATCATCATGAGTGAGAGTAGTCGATCATATCAACTTGCTCTGCACGCACGCGCACATCTCTTACGGGTATGAGTCTCTATCGTCTGCGTGCGGGGACGCACGCTTCATAATTGCGTGCTGGGGGACACTCCCTCAGTCCGATCAGGTTTTACTCACGCGACACGACGTTTGCTATCACTTATAGCATCATTTCGAGAACGAACTTTTCGAGTGTTGACCTCCCACAATGGTCTGCATGCGGAATAGCAGTTTGTTATCGTTTTTAATGTCTATAAATCTAATTTTCAAGGTCTCGGGTGGTTCATCGTTCGAGGCGAGTTTCGACCCGGAAACTACCATCGGTGATGTTAAGAAGAATTGTGTCAAAACATCAGGAGTCCCTGCAGAGCAGCAGAGGCTCATCTATAAAGGTCGGATATTGAAGGATACCGACACTATAAACCAACATAAAATTGAAAGTGGCCACACCATCCATCTGGTCAAAGGCGCTGCTCCTGCTGGCAGTAGTGCCCAACCTGCCGCTCCTCCTCCTGCTGCTGGTCAGCTTGCTGAGCCCATTGCGAATCCAACACCGCCCCCGTCATCATCGACTACTGCTCGTCCTACTAGTGATTATATGCAACAAGGTATGGCCCAGGGTGCTATGATGCAGGATCCTCGGATGATGTCACAGATGATGCAGAGCCCTATGGTGCAGCAAGCCATGCAGGTAGGGCTGCAGTGTGCAGTGTGGGAGGAAAATATGCACATTGGGCGGCAATTGGAAAAGATTTCGGGAAATTTCGGGAAGATCGTGTTGGTTTCTGGGCGAACCTAGTTCGTATATGAACTTTTGCAATTAGTGAGGAAAAATTCTGAGCCCAGTTGCGGAAAGCAAACATATATCCCAACACTGGACGTGAGTGGAATTGACGGCATTTTTCTACGGTCAGGCACTTGCTGAGAATCCTCAGCTGTTACAGCAGATGATGGGAACAAACCCGATGATGCAACAGATGATGGTAGGCCTATAATTCGTTGTGTTGGGGGTATTTGTTGTCGACAGGCCCAGAACCCTCAGACGGCCGCTATAATGTCGAACCCCGATCTTCTTCGGTTCTTGATGAACCCACAGACGATGCAAGCTATGATGCAGTTGAATCAAAATATGGTAGCAGTATCGTCAGCAGGTACAGAGTAGGGGATATCGTGATGATTTTGTAGGAGGGAAATCAGCCACAACAACAAGGTATGGCAGCTCCTGCGGCTCCGACACCCACGCCTGTACCCACTCCTGCTACTGGTCAGACTATAGTGCCTCCTCCAAATTCTCCGACAGGTAATGTTGTTGTGGGATGGTATTAATATGGCGTGCTCCTAGGACCATCGACTTCTGGACAGCCAGATTATGCTTCAATGATGCAGGCCATGCAGAACAACCCTCTGATGGCACAGATGCTAGGTAAGGAGGATAGATGGTGGGAGAGGGGTACATCTCGTATTATCAGCTGGTGGTCGAGACGGAGCTGTCCCCGCACCTAATCAGGCTGAACTGGAGCAGAGATATGCTAGCGAATTGGGAATGTTACGGTCAATGGGTTTTGTCGATACGTAAGCAGCTGATCATCCTGCTCGAATTTATGGTGATCTAATGCAGGGTAACCAATCTTGAGGCGTTGCGGGTTTGCGATGGTAACGTTGAGCTTGCTGTTAATTACCTTTTCGATATGGGTGCTGGCAATTAGATAGTACGATTGTAGCTATGTATGTAGAGATACCTTTTCTTGTATACTCGAGTTTTGTGTTCGATTAGTGGATGGCGAAACGACGGGCAAATCGCGATGCGTGTTCGAAAAATTACTTCTAAGATATGAATACTTTGTCTACAACACTCTCTTGAATGTATTGTTTGTAGGGACGGTTTGAATCCACGGTGCGAATTCCACCTAATATTTCTAGGACCTCCCTAGGGGGGGAAGCTGGTAGCGGTGGACTCAAAAAGGCATTGTAGCTGAGTTACCGAAGTCGCCATCTCGTTGCCTTCAGATACTATCGCACTGCCAGGCGGAGTCTCACCCGATTCCCTCGTGGAAGGACACCACTCAACTGAGCGACTGAAACTCAACCTGCGCTGAGTGACTGTTGTGTTTACTACGGCAGGTGGAACGGTACGAGAGTTTTACCAATGTTTGACACTCTGTATGAAGACCCTAGCTTGGGCTGAGGACTGGGTTGTGTATCAGACTTGGATAAGTGCGAATATACAGGTTTCCGCTGTCGTCCGATACTGACTTCAAACTCAACATACTAGAACTCTTATTATGGCAGACGAGAAGTCTTAAGCTATGTAAAAGTGGAGAGAGTTTCGAAGCTGAAAGAAGTTCAATATAGGCCCTATATTATAGGGGAGGTCATCAACTAGCAACATAGCAGAAAGCCAGTATCGTCGCGGGTTCGGCAGAAACACAGAAGCCCGGTAGGAGGATTCGGTTAATGAGCCTCCGAAGAGATGTTATCACTCGATAACCTCGATATCCTTGGAGAGCTCGCTCTGAGCGTACCATCCATGAAATCGTTGATCATGAGGAGAGCCGCTTTTGGTTGGTCTTGGGGTACGAGGTGCCCTGCTAGGTATACCTGCAGGAATGGTGCTGGGATGAAATCCAGTCATCGGCGATGACTCATCGCAACGTGGGAAAATATGCACATGGTCAACTGCATTTGTTAGTGACATATAGTGGAAATTGTGAGAAAATGTAGGGGAAGTATTGTTGGTTCCAGTACACTTCTACTGGAATTTGTATGTATACTTTTATAATAGCGGAGAAACTCTTGAACTCAGCTGAGGAAAACGAACACATATATTGCAACGCTGATTTGTCGTACTTGCAAGAAACCAAACATTCCTTTCTCCTTCCATCTGATGCTGCGGAGTTGACCAATTGATATACCATCAATACCCTGAGAAACCAACCTAGGGTTCGGTGAATCGGAACATTGGATCAGTAATCCGCAATATTCTTCCTGTTGTTGGCTACCTTATATTCATAGCGACGAGCGTTGCGGAATGCATTCCGACCGGGCCATTCCAACGCATCTGCTGCTTGTTCGCAGCCGATCCAGTTACCGGCAAAATCTTGATCCCCAGCATAGAGGAGAATCTTTGCAAGAGAAGATGTTCGTGACTTCGAGCCGAGATGATGTACACGAAATGTCAAAATGTCCACAATCGACATCAGGGCGACTACCAATCGCAGTCTGTGTTCATAGTTCACCAACACACTGCCAATAATACTGCATCACAAGAGTCCCCCCACTGTACTAGAATTTGGACGTTCTAGAAAAGTATGGGAAAATATGCACACGGTCAACTCGGAGTTGACCATGTGCATATTTTATGGTGACAATATGAAAACTCTGAGGGAATTTTTTGGACAATTCTTGTTGATTTTGGAACATTTCCTCCCAATTCGTGTATGAACTTCTCTCACGAGGGAACTTTTGGGCGCAGCTGAAAGAAGTGAACATACGTTACTCCAACACTGTTCAAGAAACTATCTTCGACTCGTATGTAACTCACCTCGATTCCAGCCTCAAGTAAATCGGGCAAATAAAGATTATCAGAGGGCAAAAGTGCATCAGGCCCGAAGTCCCCTATAATGGAGACCTGCGATTGAAGTACAAACATTTCATCCACATCTCTCACATCGTCTGTGCAGGAGGTGAATTTCTTGTTAACACCAAGTTTCCTCTGCACCTTACGCCTGTTGAGAAAACGATCCAACTGAAAACAACAGGGTGGAGTCTCGTCAAGCATGCGACCCACCCTCGGATCTCCAACTTGGCCTGTGCTTCCGTCCTTAGTTGTGATCCTCATATCGTATCTACAATGCGAACCATTTCACTAATATATCCTATCATAGCAAATCTCCTTACATGTTGATGCCGCGCCTTTTGAATGGAGCACTCATGGAGTCGGCGTTACAGACTTTGGCCAAGCGCTCGCACATCAGCTCTAACACAACGGAGTTTAATTCGAGTGCGAAGGACGCCCAAACCGTTGGTTTCTCACCGTCGCCTGCTAAACACTGTGGTATACCCCTCGTGCATTTCCCAACAGCTCTAGTCATGTTCAGATATCTAAGAAGGCTGATACACAACATAGGAGGCTTTGTTCTCGCACTCTCCGTAGGTAGCAACGCGCGGAGCGGTACAGCTTTTAAAAGCCATCTGGGGGAATGAAGGTACCCTATCAGGGACGGTTCTATGATATCTCCGTCGTATATCCGCCTACTGAATCTCGGCATTCATCCATCCATTTCCAATAGCTAATCCCCGGAGGTTAATATTAGGGTAGCGCAGCCCCTTATTTTCTCGTCATATTTTATGCGCTATTGCAGGTATGTAATGACCTAAGCAGTGGAACTGACGGTTCGACGACACTCGATATAGAGTTACCAGCATACGACTCCCCAGCGATGTAGAAGGCTCTATTTTTATACTGTCTGTGCTGAGAGAAGAACCCTAGAAGGGCCAAGTACCTTTCAATGCATCAGTCGCTCGGGATGCAATGCTGGTCAATGATGATTGCATTCAATGATCAGTGTTGGAGGAATATATGTTCGCTTTCCTCACCTGAGCTCGAAATTCCATCACAGTGATGGAATTTCGAGCTACAGTAAGTGACTTACTGTAGAATTTTACATGCAAATTCAAGTAGAAGTGTACAAGACCCGACAATAATTCACCGAAACTTTCCTCATAATTTTCATACTCTCACGGTGAGAGTATGAAAATTATGAGGTGTTGGTGAGAGTCTCACCAACACATGTAGTTGGCCATGTGCATACTCCCCCCCCACAATGTTCGCCTTACAAGTCGTCAGCGGCTTCGTGCGAGCCCCTCGTGACGGGCGGTCCCTCAGCAAAGCCAGCCCCGGCAGGTTGGTCAACGAAGAGGAGGTTCGCTCGGGTATAAGACGATACACAGTTGAAAAACTATGCGGAGCGAAGATCGCGTACAGTCTGGTGACACTCTGTTGGAAATTGAGGAGTTCTGTGGAGCAGAATAGCGGCATTCCATCCGACGAAGACCAACCGTACTGTATAGGCTACTGTAATGCCTCAAGATACGAGGCATTTTTTCTACAAAGCGTTTAATCCAAGAAAATGGAAACACTACTATGGTAGATACTATGGTTATCGATTATACACATAAACTGAACTGGCTGGGCCTTGTTGTAGTAGTCTGTGGATGTTTACGTTCACCTTCGCGCTTCGGACTGTTAAGTATTGGCTACGTTTTGAACGAGAACAGCGCATCGGCCGAGTCGCTCTTCCTTTGCAATAAGAGAAGCAGCCCGGTCATTGGGTGTTCACCACCAGCCAAGGGTTCTGCTAGCCGATGGAGCAAGCAGCATCACCCGAGGATGGAGAAGAGTGAGATAGAATTCAGCTCGGGACATTTCTCTGTATTCTTTTTCCTCTGAGGAATGTGGCTATCACTGAAGAATTAGTGGCAGGAATAAGGATGAAGGGCTCGGATGCATCTATCTAACGGTTTTGCATACTAGAAACGGTTAGATCCGCCTCTAGTTTTACACCTCTAGCCGAATTGGCAACACAGTGGTTTTTGATGATAGAGGGGTACGGGGAAAGTAGAGATTCCGTCTAACTCATACTCTAGGGTAAGTCACGAACACCATTGCCTAGCTCGAATAGGATTCTAAACGCAGTAACTCGAACAATACGAGCCCACAACTCGAAATTGCGCAATTGGCGCGATATTAGTGGCCCAAGAAATGGGATTGGCCGGGAGCGCGAAATTTGTGGCCAAATTTGTGGATCGATAGACGCCCGAGAATTGAGCGGTGTCCTAAGTCTAAGGGAGTGTCAAGCGGTCAAGTCAGCACGTTCCAACTTGGATACCGTATCCAAGTAGACCCTGGAACTTCCAAGGTCTACACCTCGCCACACATTCTTAGCATATCCGGTTTCTCGTGCACAGCCACCACAACGAGTATCATCTTGCGGCTCAGGGAGGTGTGTGCTTATGCTTTACCTGATATGACCTCCAAGTTCCAGCCTGAAACTTTCAGGGCCTAACTCTCCGTAGTTAGTGAGAAGTCGAAGCCGGGTAAAAAGTTTTCTCCACATATTCTTAGCATAGTATGCTAAGCATACACGTGTTGAAATTGCGCCTCAAAATATCAACTTTTAGTGGGGGAGTATATCTATAACTCCGCTCCTGAATCAGGAGTCCTGATCTAGTGCTATACATCAACATAGCCATGGCCGTCCATTCCACCCATGGCCGTCCTGTTACGTCGTGCTAAGTTAGCACTGCTAACTATTGTGACTCGTCACTCGCACAGTGCGAGTGACGAGTGCGAGTCGCACTGGAGTTGGTTTATGGTTTGGCAGTCCGTGGCAATTTCCACACCCCGGGTAACGTTTTTGCTGAGGGTGTCTCCCAGAAATTGACGTACACTGACCTTTACACTGTTTTACGTACGGGCTTTCTCAAGGACGACCCAATATACCAACGTTTGCAACGCGAGTCTCCGAGCACTGATGGTGCCACTTTGTGGCGGGCGGCTATTGATGAGGTCGATAACCACACCATGGCTGGCCCCATCGACGGCGACAGTTATGCGACTGACTATTTGATTTCACGTAGATTTCCCGTACGCCAGGTCTCCAAAACGAGGCCCTGTGACGATTACACTGCGTCGGGTCTGAACGATTGCCAATACTTCGATCGTCCCATGGCTCTACCCACCATTGACTTGATTACACAGATGTACAACGCTCTGTCGGGTTCCTGGCCTGATGATCTTGATCCGCATATGGAGTGCTGATCGCTAGAGTGCTTATCGGCAAGTCGCGTCGTTTCCTCCACACACTTTCTCTGCTCTTGTCGCTATTCGTAATCCGTCTCCGCCGCATTTATATTTGTTTAGACACTTCGCTCAGGCTTTTGGAGCCAGATCGAGTGTCTGGAACTATCTACGAGTATCACAAGCATTGGTCTTCCTCTCCAGGGCATATTTTTCCACTATCGTCGTTAGCTATATCGATGATTTTTCTGGCGGCGAAGGTGTATCGACTGTCGACTCAGCCTACTCTTCCTTCCTCTTTTTGAACTCTATTCTAGGCTGGAAATTAAAAACTTCGAAAAGTTCTTCACCTTCTCATGCCATGGTTCTTTTAGGCATCGAAATATCTGTCTACAAACGAGCTGTTTCTCTTTCTGTTCCGCGTGAAAAATTACATCGTATTTGTGGTTCTCTTGTCAATATTCTCTCATCGGGAGTTCTACCTTTTGGTCGAGCCTTGAAATTATGCGGTAAGTTAAATTTTGCTGCTTCCACCTTTGCTTCCTGTGCTGGTAGACCCTTCATTCGGGTGCTTTACGATCATATCCATTTTGGACGTAAGTCCGGTTCGTCTTCCCAGTCACACTGCCATCGATTGTCTCCGATCATTGCTTTTTCTTTTACGCAGCTTCTCTGATGGACGATGCTTGACGTTATCCTCATTACATAGCTTTCCTGCGGCTGTCATATACTCTGATGCCGATGGGGATTGCCGTCTTGGAGGCTCCAACTTGGAGCATGCCTTATTCGTCTCCACCACAAAAATGTCTACTTCTCAGAACCCTTACCTTTGTCTCTCTCGGCCATCTCTTGTTCCGATCCACCTAACATAGTCTTCCAAGAATGTTGTGCAACCCTCTGTGCAATCTCGACATTTGGTCCCATGCTCCGTAATCATCGTGTGATGATCTTCATCGATGCTACATTTGTAGAACACATGATCTTGAAAGGTTCGTCCAAATCGCCTTCGCTCAATCGCCTGGGACTCGCGTTCTGGCTCTTAGCTGCAAAGATCGTCATTTCGATGTGGATTGGTGGTATACGAAGTCAATTTAACTTGGCTGATGCTCCTTCGCGTAGACTTTATCATGACTTCTTTTCTTGGGATCGGTATAGGTTGATAAGTTCGCGTCCATCTTTATTACATTATGGAAATTGTCAGCATGCCCTCACGAGTCGTGAGTCACGACGTGATGTTATAATATTCATGACTCGTGTAAGTATGTTTCTTGCTTTGCGTTTTGCACTCTTTGTTCATTCGTCAGCAGAAACTCTTCATTTCTCTCAATGTCTGACGAGATTCTCTTTCCACTGCATGTTGCTGCTGCGAGACTAAAGCTGCAACGGCTGCGAAGTGCTCGATTACAGTCGTCATATACATCCACATCGGTATCACGCCGCATACTTGTAGATCCTTCCACTGTAATTGCGTCCACACGACCTTATACTTCGAACAATAAGAGAATACACGATATTGTTGCAGCCTTCCCTCCGACTAACCAGCTATCGTTCCTTAAATCCATGAGAGATCAGAACATCAACATTACCCCACTCATCGAAAGAGCAGCTTCCGAACTACCTTTGCGCTCTGTTCTTCCGTCTACATTAGCAAGCTACAACGCCGGTCTACGTCACTACGTTGCATTCTGTCGTTTATGGTCCGAGTTGTCGGGTACCTCCTTCGGATTTTTATCTCCGTCAGCGTCGATGCTGATGCGTTGGCTTGCTACATACCGCGACGCTTTGACCCAAGCTTGTGAGAGCTTGGAAAAGGAATGGATAAGATGACGGCTGAGGAGTGTTTAGTGCCAAGTCGCGTAGAAAATATAGGCAGACGAGTGTATGTTAGACAACAAGTAGCATATGGAGCCGTAGAATATGAATGTATGCAGTTTTACAAACTTTATAGTGGCTCCCTTAGGGTTCTGTCTACTTGACTCTGTCTATGACGCCGTTAGCATACAAGGCGCGATCTGGAGCATCGATCCGCATATCATCAGTCATATTATCGTCAGTTTCGTACGGTGTGTCATCCGATCGCAACATTCTGATATACGCGATTCTGTCTGTAGGCGCTGAAGTATCATTGACCTGCACACACATTGACACTAAGAGTCTTGGTCTGAGACGGACGAACATAATAATGTGTTTTAGCAAATTAGAGAGGCGGTTCACTACAATTTGTAGTCTATAAATGCACTCCCATCGTGGTGTCTCTCTCAGCCATTTCATCATACGGTGATATGTGTTTCTCTCTGAGATTTGATACGGCACACATCGACGGAGTGAAAGCGCCTGCTATTTGCGCAATATAATCTCATCGATGCTTCTCTAGCCTAACACATTTCGTCAGTGTTTTCTTGTTGGAGTTGTATTCTCGGTTTGCCACTTACGGGAGTAGACGTTCGGCAACGTACTTCAAGGACTTCAGCAAGACTCGTGCAAGCGACACTGATCTTAACTTAAGATTGATTCTGGGAGCTCTTGCTCGTCAGTGTGCAAATCATCAACTGAAAACACGATACATTGGTTGTGCGAAAGAATATTGATGAGAGGCGGCGGACGAAATCAAGATGGTCCGGAAAAGTTGTCTAGATTGAAGTCATCTGAAGCTGTTCAAAGCCGCGAGATAACATAAAGGCTCCTCAAGGCCTCGAGCAGAAGCATTGGCTGTTAAAATGCAGGAAGCACTTCTCGCCTTCAGGGCATGGTGGATTGCAACTGCCAGTGGCACATTCATAAGTGGGCTGGACCAGGGAACGGAGTTGGGCGTCGCATTGTGGTACGATGGAGAGCAGGGCAAACCAAATGATGGTGATCAGGGAAAAGTAGGTCTTAACCATTTTAGATAATAACGGATATTAAATAACCTGTATGAGGAAGCCTTTAGGATGTTCATTCACGTCATGTCACGGCTTGTTCGCGCGCGTATGCACGAATCTCGCTCGCCCATTGTTCGTTGCGTGAAACGGCTCGCAGCCCCCAGGCTGAAATGGACAAGATAAGAAGCCTTATTACCTACTATGGATATCCCAAGTGTTGTTGAGTCAACCAGTGCGGGTGTTACTACTAACATGGTGGAGAACCCGCTGGCTGAGCCCCTTGAAGTCCTCGGTATTGCTGAACGGGTGTTACTACTAACTCGGCTACCGTATGCGCACAACCGCCGTTGTGCGCGCATAGGTACTCCGACGGAGTCTCTCCATACACCGGATATTGTACGACATACTACGCCCTAGCTGTGGATTCGCCAGCAACAACGAGGCTTTTGAAGGGTCCGAGTTCACTCCGCTTCTCTCATGCTTGTCGGTACGAGATGTGGCTGTGTAACAACGCGTTGGCAACCGCTCCCTATACATGCGTGAGAAACTAGTTCTGACAACTCATGATAATCACAAAATAACGAATGTTCGTCGAAAAATTTCCTCCCCCCTGGCCAGAAGGTTATCACTTAGTCCCAGATCGCTGTTTTACCGTCATTTACAATCTTGTATCGAATACCGACTCTTGTAAAGGAACGCGGTTTCTTGGAGGAATATTCACGAGAGTCCCCTCGTGAAAGTACTGCTGTGCGGACCGCACAGGGTGGCTGTTCGCGCGCGTATGCACGAATCTCGCTCGCCCATTATTCGTTGCATGAAACGGCTCGCAGCCCTCAGGCTGAAATGGATAAGATAAGAAGCCTTATTACCTATTATGGCTATCCCAAGTGTTGTTGAGTCAACCAGTGCGGGTGTTACTACTAACATGGTGGAGAACCCGCTGGCTGAGCTCCTTGAAGTCCTCGGTATTGCTGAACCCTCACTACTACTATGGTTATCTGCCGCTGAGTTAGAGACTGCCATGGAAGGCCAACCTCTTAGCAAGAAGGTCTATCTACGACGTACCTTCTTCACCTATATAGACGCCGAAGGCCCTAACTCTCAAGCTGCAAGCCTCTCTCGAAGGCCAGCAAACACAGTACATCCACAGCAGGTTACAACTTCTGCTGCCACTGTGCAGGTCTACCCTCAAGGAGTGCCCCAGGCCCCTCTCATGCAAGGTCAACAACACCCTTGTAACAACGACATCACCAACGTGGCGTATTGGTGTGATCTATCCCACAACTATGATAAGGAGAAGGCGCTCGATACAACGAAGGCCATCAATGCTGTTTCCCATATCAAGTGCCCCGACAACAAACAGTACAAGGGAAACTCTGATAACAGGAGTATCAACTACTTCCTGAGTCTTGTCCGCTGTGAAGCGAAGCAAACAGCGCTGGGCCCTCGACTATCTTATATCTATCTATCCAACTGTCTTAGCCAGTCGGTCAAGAGGAACTTACAGATCCACTTGGAAACTACTATGGACCCCACTCTCTACTTGAACGACTATGTTCTGACACTATCACAAGCACTTGGTTACCTTCAACATAAGTACTCTCTGTCGAATTCACATGCGGAAGTCATGAGATACTTCTCTGACGTCAAGATGGACAATGGTGACATCAACATTTACGATTACCTCGACCGTATCGAATCTGCTGTTGCTATGTGTGCGAGTGTTGGCCTCCATCTACAACCCAGTCAAATCAACCTACACTATCGTGAAGGCCTCCATCCCACTCTGAGGAAGACTGCAGACGAGAACTACGCGGCCATCGATGATGTCCAACAGCTTACGCAAGCCCTACGTAGCCATATCCGCTGCAATCCAAAGCTCTACATCAGCAATGCTAATTCAAACAAGGCCCCTCCGGTATCAACTGCTACTTCTACTAAGGCTCCTAATCCCAAGCTTCCTAGGGTTGAAGACCCCGAGACTCTCAAACTCTGTCGAGAGCAAGGGATATGCTTGGCCTGGACAGCTCGCAGGCAGTGCCGCTATGCCGATAATTGCAAGTACAAGCATAGTGACGTAGCCCGTTTACTACAACACCAGAAAGATGACTATCACCTCCCTCCTGGTTCTGACATGGTCCTAAGGTCTACTTTCTGTGCCGACAACAACTTCTTCATCGTTGCTGACACTGGTTGTACAAGATCAATTATATCTTGGCGACTTGCGACGGCCTTACTACAGCACTATCCTGGCGGCCAACTCATTCCTTGTAAGCTCTCTTTCGATACTGCAACTACAACTCGATCTATGAGTTCACTCTACCAGCTCAAGATCAACTTTCCCATCTGCGATGGAAAGTTTCCATTGGAAACCGTCAAGTCTCAACATTCACATGGTCGCCGTCTATCATCAACGACGGACTACTACTTCACTCTGATGGACTCCTCGGTATGGATACCCTTTCGATCAACGCCGACGGTTTGCTCATCAACATCAATGGTTCATTGGTTCAAGCTTCAAAATTTCTTTGTAGCTCTCATTCATTGGATAAATATCGGTCATCAGGCATCACGTCTCCGACATCCACTACGAGCCCAATCGGTTCATCATTGTCGGAGCTATATAAATTTATATTTATTTGCCCAACAGCCGCTCCTACTCAAGGTCCTATCCGGTCAACATTCGACTGCACGACCTCCACTACATCTGATCTATCTACGCCTACTTCATCAACGGCATCATCAGATGACTCTATCGAAGGCCATCATATCGCCGCTCTCAAAGGCAAGGCCTCTAAACAAAACTCGGACGACGCTATCTCCTACGACGTCGATTCACTAGGCGACACACCACCTACATTCCCTAAACCACCCGAAAGCTACCAACTACTCGAGACCATCTACAACAACGAATGGTGTACTATTGGTATCCTTTCTAATAAGGATGGTAACAAAGAGTATTTCGTTGACTACAGTGACCAACTACTGCGGCTAGCTCTAGACAATCAGCCGAAACCGGTCCCTTCTACTCACTATTTCCTCATCAAAGCCAGTACTGACGAGCGTCAACAAGCAGAGCAGCGCATCGACGCCCTGATCAATGGAGGCAAACTACAACCTACTGGTATTGGTGATATCAACAGCTACACCACAAATTGGTATCCACGTACTGGTCGCAAGCGGGTCAGACCTATACAGCCTACAATAAGGACAAATGACTTGCTCAAAAAAGCCAGCAAGAAGTTCCCAATCAAGGACTGCCAATCCAAGATACCTCGCATCATCAACAAGTACAGGTCATCTGCTACTGCTCATTCTATGGATATCAAGGATACCTATAGATCCATCAAGCTCGGTTCAAATGTCCAACTCCTCAGTCAGATCAACTACAAGGGAAAAAACTGGACCTACACCTACATGAGTGATGGTAACTCTACTAATCCTCAAGTCCTCGAGATCATCATTGCGCATGCCATCGGGGAACTAGAACGACTCGGTACTTGCCCTGGATTACTTGTGAGCTACATGGACGACTTCCTATACCTTGGTGGCCAGCCTGAAGACATTGAAAAAGTGAAGGCCCACTTTGCAAGCTACGGTATGTATCTAACCACCGAAGACCTCAACGGACCTGATGCTAATGGTTTACTAGTCCTCGGACATGAGCTTTGCGATAATGGTAACTCTCTTCTACTGCCTACCTACAAGTATAAAGATGCCGTCGACTTCGACATCTCCTGCACAGTCTCCTATAAAAAAGCTCTATCACTCCTCAATATTTTATGGCAGGCTTGGGACCTATTACCATGGCACATTCTCATCATCAAGAACTGCCTGACTGCACTAGTTTCAAGATTAAGAGCTGTGAACGACCACAAATGGACTGACGATGTGGACGATAAGGCTATGGACTTGCTCAGAAGATGGCAACAACTGTTGAAGGCCAACCCTCCAACTCCGACGCACCGGTACATCCATCCAGATGCACCTATTCATGTCTGGTTCGACTCCTCCGAACTCTTAGGAGCGATGGTGGCCATTCAGGACAACCAAGTGGTATTCAAAAAGCAGTGGAAATGGTCCACTCAAGAGCGAGCCTTGCACATTAACGTGAAGGAACTCACTACTGCCTACAATGCTCTCTCTACTCTTGTCTCCTTCGAGCTCGATACCAATAAGAAGTTCTCGAAGATCATCCTCTACGGCGACAATCGTACAGCTAATGCTGCCCTAGCTTCTGGTAAGGTCTCTACTTCTGGTAAGCAATCTACTCTACTTCAACGAACTATCGACCTTATTCATTACCTTATGGGAAGACGCCAGTTTGAAATTCACTATGTGGCCTCTGCCGAGAATCCTGCTGATGCCGGCACAAGGTGTGACCTCTACAGCGATTTGGTTGAATATCGTGATTCTATCGACGGCGTGAGTCTTGAAGCTCTGTCTGACGATGATACCTCAGATATGAACACTGTTCATGTTGCTAGAATTATACGTAAGCGTGGTGACGAGGACGAAGACACCAACGAGATCGGTGATAAAAGACCACGACTTGAACCACCTTTACGAGTTCCCACCAATCCATTACCACCCCTACAACGACCACCCTATTTTGACATTGTTCAATTACCCTCTAACATGTTGGCCACCTATAGATCTCTACCCCTAAGTGAAGATGGTAGACGTCAACTGGCTGACGGCGATTTTCTGTATAAGTGTGCTGAGTTCTGTCATTCTCTCAAGCATACTGGTGCTTCTGAGATCACTGCTATTCTCAAGTGCTATTTCGATCCGAAGTCAACCACTATCGACTTCGATGAAGCAGCTAAGAAGGCCTCAAGAAGCTGCATCACTTGTGCTCTCGTCAAGACCGACCCTGGCGATAGACAACCCAAGAACCCCACCTCCAACGATATAGTCATCCCTGATCGACCATTTCAAGTAGCCAGTTTGGATGTACTTGGTCCTTACGTTACGACTACAACAACCAATGGTTCGACCGGTAAATTCTACTCCATCAATTTGGTCTGTCAGCTCACTAATCTACTCTTATGTTACCCTACTATTAGTGCGCCGACGGCCATCGATATACAACGAGCAGCCAACCTACCCCATCGGCTCTATCATTACCCACTACAGAGGATTTTGACTGACAACGCTAGTATCATCAAGTCAGCTTCAAAATCTATGCCCTCTGTTCAATTCGATTATGTACCTGTCTCTGCATCATGGTTAAATGGACATGTTGAAGCTCGTCATCGACTACTCAACCAACGACTGCGACGTTCTTTCTTGACAACTGCTTTTGTTGACGAGAAAACTTGGTTTGAAGCTGTCTCTCGTGCGGCTTATGAGATCAACTCTAGCTCCAATCTACTTGCACGTGGACTCTCACCGCTAGACATGGTTATTGATGGTTCGGGTATTTCTCCTTTCGACACCAGCGAAAGATGTAAGCTTCCAGATGACAAATGGACTATTTGGAGAAAATATAAGCATGACTGTCGTGAACGTACTCTCAAAGCGATGGCCAACAAGACTGCTACTGGACCTCCACTACAAGTTGGTGATAGTGTACTTGTACACACTACGGAACCTCATCCGAAGGCCTCCACACCCTGGATTCCAACAAGGAGAGTTATTGTTGAGATAGAAGGCAACCGTGCTTTGCTAGATGATGGTGTATGGCGCTCTACTGATAAGCTCAAGAAGCTAAATGATGAAGTGCTACCTCGGTATGTATTCAATGATACCCCATCTTTCATAACAGTATAACACTTTCGATATTTGCACTACTATCATTAAATTAGTAACTAAACCCCCTCACAAAATAATAGAACATACAGTATTTTTTCGATTTCTCTGTTATTACTGCGACTCAGGTTGTGAGATTTCGTGTGTGAGAGTATCACTTATGAGAAAATCCACGTCGAGAAATCAGTCTCCGCAAGCAAGTGCTCGGAGGCAAAACTCACTCGGGCTGTTTTATGGGCCGGAGTTAACCTTGGAGCTGTTGGAATCTTAGCATAAGCAGCCCCGCTCGACCTCAGAAAACGCCTTACCGTCTGTGGGGACACGCTAAGCTTACAAATACGCACGATCTTGGTGCACGTGACGTCGGGATCCTTCGCAAACTCTCTCATGATGTGCCGTTTCTGCCTATCGGATAATACCGGCTTGCGCCCACGTCGCTCGGGAGGCTGGGGCGGGTAGGTCTGGGGTGCCTTCGCGAGTATCTTGCTGACAACTGGCCTGGATACTCCGTGGCAGCTGGCAATCTCACTATGGGTATATTTAGCCTGACCGTTCGGTAGGCGAGTGCTTCCCATGATACGGATGAGCTCCTGTGTATGTGGAGTAACAGCTTTAGCGCGGGGCATATGCGAATAGTCGCTCTGTGATCAATACGGATCCGTCTGAGATGGTGTTCTATTTTTTTGGAAGCGCGGAAAAATTGACCGTTTCAGAAATTTTACTAAGGCGAGCGAATAATGATACGACTCTAATATATTTTTGTTCCTACATAAGTGATACCCTCACACACGAAATCTCACAACCTGAGTCGCAGTAATAACAGAGAAATCGAAAAAATACGGTATGTTCTATTATTTTGTGAGGGGGTTTATCTGGGGAGGACGTGTTCGCGCGCGTATGCACGAATCTCGCTCGCCCATTATTCGTTGCATGAAACGGCTCGCAGCCCTCAGGCTGAAATGGATAAGATAAGAAGCCTTATTACCTATTATGGCTATCCCAAGTGTTGTTGAGTCAACCAGTGCGGGTGTTACTACTAACAGTGGCAGACTCCGAATCGCACGGGATGTAATGTATGTAACAGTGTGTGTTTGAGGAGTACATGATCTTGAATTGCCACAACCGGAGATCGTTTCTGATGTTAGGATTGTATTTCTAGTGTGACAACCTAACGCAACGCTCATTTGGCACTACTGACGTCAAGGCTTGGTACATGTTGGAATGTGTATACGAGGAAAGTGTTGTCTTGGGCTCATACAAATTGGTCAAGTACAGCTCAGCTGACCGTGAGGGAGAGTCTGTTGCGATACCATCGGGATCGGCCCATCCGCCCAGCTGGTGCATACACCAGACGACGCTGAACACAAAGCATGGGATACCGTGGAAACATTGGTGCTCACTGGTCTGATCCTCCGGCTTGATGCGTCTCCCTGTGATGGTACGCGACAAGAGTCTGTAGCAGAGCCTAGGGTGGCAAGAAGAGTGTATAGTGCGATGAATGCTAATATGGCATGCATTGGTTGAAACTTGACTTCAAATCTCCGTCTTCTGGGCGAGCATGGACACTGCTTGAGAAAGTCAAAGATCATGCAAGTGAGCAAGACCCCTCGTTCGTAGGAAACGGGAAAAGGGGTGGGATCGACAGGATTCTGAGTAGCTTTGAGAAGATCTTGTTGCTCTGTCGTGTTCCGGGGCGGTTTGAATGATTCCGCGGCTTGGATTTTATTATTGCCCTCGGATTCTGTATTCCACAGAATACAGGTGATAGTAGCTGATCGGCTCACTTCGATCACGCCTGTCGTTATTGGTGATCGAATGCCCGTTTATGAGATGGAAGTGAAACTCAACGAGGGCCTTTGGTCGGCTTCACAGGCTCCTGCCATTGACGCAGTAGAAGTCTAGTCTCTGTTTGGAAAAATGGCTAGATTCGAGCCCTTCGGAGATCAGCACAAGTTCTGTGAGCCGTCTTGGTATCAAGGTAAGGCACCCCTGACGTTTTGCAGCGGAGTCGTCGTGTGGGCAGGTGCCTTTACGCCTTACTATACGGCTTCACATGCTGAGTTCAGGAAACGTGTGAGGGACTTCGTGATGAAAGAAATCGATCCTTACGCTGAGAGTTGGCTTGAAAAAGGCGGGTGAGTGAGTGCCACAACTTGACGTTCTCGCACGTCACTTTCAAGGTACCCTCTGAGCATCCACAAGAAAATGTACGACGCTGGACTGCAACAAGCTGTACTCAGAGTCCCGTCTGAGCTCAGCAAAACGCCATCAGGTATGTGCAGTTATAGTTTTGTTCTGAAGACGTCCACGATATTCTGTCATCGCGCGTATCCGCGCTCAAGAACGTCACCTGTCAACTCGATAGTTTTGGGTGTCAACGTGGAGGACGAACTCACCCAACGAATGTGCAACCGCTTACTAGCCTAGTAATACTAGGGATTTCAGAAACTGCATGTTGGTAGAAACTTGAACGCTCTGCTGTTCCAGTGTGAGCTGCATTTATTTGAACTGAGACGAGCGTGACGTGAGTGTGCGCCGCTTATGAGCGCGACTCGTTAATTGAAATAATCATTTTATAAGCCTTAATAGCCAGGAGGTAGAGCGCGTGCCTTTTAAGCCTGTGGTCGTGAGTTCGAGCCCCGTCCGAGGTGTTTTGGGTAGTTAGTGCTTCAGCAATGTATATACGGTCGAGTAGTGAGATGTCAACGAGATTAAAATACAGTACATTGAATGTACTACATTCTTGGAAGATGCACTGTTGTATCTTATGGACAATGATTCCCCGGGGAAAAACTTGAACTATTTCAGAAGAATATGACATCTTCCACGAGATAATATTTTTCGACGAGATGGCTAGAGCGGAATGTTATCCGCGCATGGTAAGTCTCCAGTAAGTGCACTCAGGGGACCACCTTAATGCTTGTTAGATAAGCATCGATTCCATGGCTCTGCCTCCACTCGTTAAGTACGGCCCGGCTCATTTACGCGAGAAGTACGTAACGCCTGATATCTCCAACGCTAGAATGGAACTGGATTTTGCAGATCTTGAGCTCTCGACATTTTCTGAATAATCGAACATACTTTAGGTTAGTGCCGCAAGTCGCGAGTGGGGAGAAGCATATTGCCCTTGGTATAACAGAACCCACTGCAGGGAGTGACGTTGCACAAATCAAAACAACAGCTGTCAAACGGGGAGATGAGTATGTTGTAAATGGGTAAGCCGAAGGTGTCTCGTGTAGTTAAAGAGCGTCATCTGGCATTAGGCAGAAGAAATGGATTACTGGTGGTTTGATCGCGGATTACATAACGCTGGCTGT